GTTTTGTTGTGGCGGAAGACAACAGCATTCATGGCTGATTTTTCAGCAGTTCAACACCGGTGGTGCTGGTGGTGTTGGTGCTGGTGTCGTTGCTGCGCCTTCTTGCCCCGCGCCGAAGCCAGCTCCGCATGTAACGCATGGCTGAAAGTCGCTGCCACTTTTCAGACCCAACACATCAAGAACCCTCAGTTGAGTCACAATCAAAACCGATTCGGGTAGATGGAGGTTAGTAAGGGATACTCCCAGCCATAAATAGCTGCGGATCCCCGCCTTCTTATTCCTGAAGCATGGTTCTGGGTTCACCATTTTTGTACCGGATTTTGATTATGACTCGCTTCGGCCTGGTCATGCATGCTGTCGTTGTCCGGAGTGTTTGTGCCACGAAACCCCTACTCGCACCCAGCTCACCCATTGCCTCGTGTGTACGAACGCTTGAGTTCCAGCCAGCTCACTCATTGCCTGCGCCAACCGTTGCAACGACCTTGGAGGATGCAGACCCTCAAGCCAACGTGCAGCTGCGGTGTGGGCTTCTACATGTGCGCGCACCACATTGCCACAAGACGCATCTTTGAGAAGTGCGAAAGGGTCTGTCAAGAGTTGCGCCAGAGCCATAGCTTGGGCAAGTGCCATCCAGGCCGGAAACAATAGGAGTCTGGATGCGGCTTCATGCTCGCCAGCCAAGATCGGCATTTCGCACGCGAAGGTGCGCGGCCTGCGCCATGCCTGAACACTGCATTGCGTTTGATTCCGCTCTAGTGCTGCCGCAGGGCAAGCGGGGACCCAAAGCAGGCAGCTGCGTTCCGTCTTGTTTTAGCATCAGCAGTTTAGGCGTCGCCCCGTGCGGGACTTTCCTTCGTCTTGCAGCTGCACTTGCGAAGCCGTAGGGCAGTGCGGGAATTTAGGCTTCGCGGCAAATGCCGGGCGGACATGTGTGTTTGTGTGGCTTGCCCCTGTGCCTGCTCAAGCGCAAATATCCAATGATCCACTATGGAGCGGGCTGAGAGTTGCTTGGGAGTGAGGCTTTGTTTGGACCCTCGGCTTCCAACCTTGAATTCAGTGAATTGTAATGTCCATTTGGACCCTTGGAACGTCTCACTTGCGCTTCGTAATCCGTAGCTTTGGGTGTCCGAAGAAGGCGACAAATAGAATTATCCATTTCCCCTACTCCATAGACTTGGTCAACTTAGGGTCGACTTACCCTACTTATAACATACCTGGAGAACCCCTTTTGGGAAAAAAAAGGCACCGCCCAAACCAAGTGCAAATAATGTAATTGTTTCTATTTTTGGGTACCGTTTAAAAAAAAAGGCACCGCGACACCTGGAGGTTTCAAAAAAAGCATCGTTTTCCCCGACTGCGCCTGCGCTGCCACTTTGGCTCTTGATAGGCCACGGAAGAGAGGCGAGAGCCGCCAAGGCACCAAGGGCTGTTGGGTCAAAAGGCTGGAATATTTCTGAAAATTCTATAATCATGGTTTCCTTTGAATGAAACTCTATAATCACAATCCCCTCTTCCGAAGTGCCGACCTTACCCCTACCAAATATCTTTGTATTGTACGTAGGGCTGCTGTTTTAGCTGCTACCTTCCGTGAAATCCTACAAACCCGTCCTATCCAATCTTCGTTGGTCTCACAGTTGAAAATTCCGGGGCTCAAGAGGAAACGGCAGTTTGGCTGGGAAAGCTGAGCGTGCAACTCCATCAATATATGATGAAAATAATGAATCTTCGGGCGCAAGTTAAAAGCGCAAATTCTTGCATTCATTGCCCATTGGGCACAAAAGGCATACCCTCTAAGGTGTCGCATGCCGCCATGCATCATGGTGTGCCCACAGCACCGGGGCAGCCAAAGTGAATGACTGTGCATGACCCCAATAAAGGTCAAGCCTCCCTGAACCATTTCCAACATGGCGCTCAGGATTGTAATGTCTTGCTCCTGTTTGGGGTCCCTCAAGTGAAGCTGCAGGATGACTTCGCAAAACATCATCATCAGGGTAGCATCGCTACCTTTGCAGTTCACCCACGGGAAGCTCGCGGAGTTCGGGTAATGGAAGTTTGCCCGGGTGAAGCCCCGTAGAGACGGACTGCGATTTGTCCCCAAGCACCACATTTTGAAAAGGCTGTAGGCGCGAGATAGCCTCTCAGGCACTGACTTTGAATCCTCCGGTTGGAAATCAAAATAGGACAGTTGGGCCAAGATTTTGATGACGCTAGCCACTGCATCTCGAAATGTCCCATGCTTCAAGATGTGGAATGGGTCTTTGCGGAGACAAAAGGCAGGCTTGTCCTTGTCAAAAGGCACCACATGCAAAGGCGGGGGCTCCGACCACGGTATAGATGCCCCGACAGTTGGCAGCCATTTCGGCGTGTCAGAGACATCTGTGAAAGGAATCCCAGGCTTGCCGGCTTCACATTCCGAGCATATCATGTACTTGTTCTTAACGCCAGTGTTCAGGTAAGATCTTGTCAGGTTGTAAGACTGAAGGTGCCACTCAGCATCCCCTTTCGAGCCGACCAAGCAAAAGCGATAGGTGGTGTTTGCAATGACCAGGCCGGTGGTGTAAAGCTCATGAAGCGAGTGACCAATCTCCTCCAAAATGCGGACCAAGGAGTTTGGGTTTTTTCGTAGTGGCCATGAGGCACTGCTGCAATCAGAAACCTGCTCAAGAGTGAATGGCCCTTTGCGTTGTGGAGTTGGGATGTTGGTTCACAGACCGGCTGCGGGGTAACCTTTCCAGCGTCGACTTTGCGCCGTTTCACGGGGCAGTCATCAAAATTGCCAAGGTCAAGGCCGGCGGTGAAGGAACACAAGCTAGCGCCCTCCATTCGCATAGCGCAGTCCCAAGACCTCTTCGAATCGCCCACTTGCTTGAACACCCGGTACTCCTTCTCCCCTGTTTTCAAAGAGCGCGCAGCCTGGGGAAGCCCAAAAACTGGTTCCCAAGAGTAGCAGGCAACAGGAGCCTTTCGCAAACCGCGTCCTTTGTCCCCATGGATGCAGATTGGAATAACATACTTCAGGTCGAAGCCGCTGCTGTAGATTTCATGTGTTCCATGAAAGCATTTGTAGTGGCGCCAAAAAGTTGCACAACGCTGTTGCGCTTGATGCCCCAGCTCGTAGCCTCCAAAAAGAAGCGCAGGGTGCTTTTGCAACAAGAGTTGTGCAAAATCTCGCACGTTCAACCAAGGGATCCGGATTGCGTCATCCACATCTTGCCCAGGAACATCAAGCCATGAGATGGGAACTTTCAGCGACAGTCCAAAACGGTTGAACAAGCGGTGACAATCTCTTTCCCCGTGCTTCTTGTGAACCTTGCTGGCAGACTCCAGGCTTGGGATGGCTGCCCCGTCAGCTGCGGCTGCTTTGGCAATCTCCCCCACGCGGCAGGCGGGAGCCTTGGGCAAGCCGGTCATGCAGAACAAGAGAGGGGAAACAGACATGAGAACCCAGCCCCATCCGCCACTTGATCGGCGAGTTCTTCCAGTGTTCGTTGCCGGTCCTGATGTTGCTGGCCTGGCCGCATCAGAAACACTTGGGAAGCTTTCAGGTTCCAGTGACTTTGACTCATGAGCGCATGAGTGGCATGAGCCAAGAAAAGCACGCTGATTTCTGCACTCCGGGCTTGTTTATAGGCAAATCCTGCCCCCGATGGCAAAGCATATCTAAGTGAGACCAATCAGGCCGTCCTGGCCCTTTTGGTCTGGGAAGAACTGCCTTGGGCCCCGCGTTTCTTCGATGACCCAGGCACTGGCGATGTGGGCTCTTTCGCTGCCGCCTTGGCCCCTGCCTTAGCTTTTGCCTTTGGCCGGGATGCACCGCCCTTGGGCTTGGGCTTCGAAACCTTTTCTGCGTCAGATTTGGGAATCACGCTCCTGCGGCGCTCGGGTCTAGCTTTTTTTGCAACAAACAGGGCGCAGTCCTGGCTCGCTGCTCAATGTCCCAGGACTCCACAACCCTGGGCGACCAAATGCCACTTTGAACCATAAAAGGCCTGAGGCGCTGGCTTTTGCCGAGCTTGGTCGAAAAGCTGCTGGAGCTGTTCTTGTTGCCTTGTAAACTGATTGAACGATTGAAAATCAAATGAAACATCTAAGGCGCAGCGCAATATTTTTTTGCAGCAATGCTGCTGGGGTGTGAACCCGGACACCAGACCCTCCCCGTGAAGATCGGATATCGCGTCCTGCGCCTTGTCCAAGGCTGTGAAGCAGTCTTGCACCTTGACGGCGAGCCTCAGGAACAGCGCTGGCCCGGGCCTTTTCAATTGAAGTCTTTTCAATGAAATGTTTCAATTCTTCAAGGCTGCAAAGAAACCACAAAAAGCAGGTTGAGAGTGTATGACCAGAACTAAGGAATTGTCCGGAGTTGGGTTCATCATTAGGGCACTGGTCCATTGCAGGGCATGCTGAGGCATCTTTCTTGTGGGAACAAACTGGGACAAGTTGTGAAAAAAGGGTTGGGACAAAGTTGGGAAAAGGTTCGGAACAAGTTGGGAAAAGGTCCGGACCAAGTTGGGAAAGGTTCGGAAAAAGTTGGGAACAGGTTGGGAAAAGGTTGGGAACAAGTTGGGAAAAGGTTGGGAAAAAGGTGGGGGCAGGTTGGGAAAAGGATGGGAACAAGTTGGGAAAAGGTTGGGGGTTAGGAAAATGTTGGGAAAAGGTTGGGAACAAGTTGGGAACAGGTTGGGAATAAGGTGGGAACAGGTTGGGAACAAGTTGGGACAAGGTTGGGAAAAAGGTGGGAACAGGTTGGGAAACAATTGGGAAAAGTTGGGAACAGGTTGGTAAAAAGTTTGGAAAAGGTTCGGCAACGTTGGGAAAAGCTTGGAACAGAGTTGGGAAACGGTTGTGAACAAGCTAGGATGAGGATCATAATGTTTTTTGAGGGGGGGGCAGCTCTTTGTAGGGTTGTCCAAGGGTTTTAACTATAGATAATTAAGGGTTATCTAGCTTTTCGTGGGGATTGCATAGTCTTGTGGTTTTCTCTGTGTCTGAAAACAATTCCCAAAGAGACCTTGTTCGAAACGGTATGACTGGATTCCAAAGATGTCTTCACTTCGTCGAGTTTTGTCAATCGCTTTGTGCAACTCGCCAGGACTTTGGAAACGATCACTGTAGGCTTGCTTTCTTTCTCAATTTCAGGAAATCCAAGCTTCTTGATAAGCTTCAAAGTCTGTTGGGTTGCGTCAGCATCAGGCGCCGCCCCTTCATTCTGCACAGCCTCAGCCTCAGGAACGGCTGTGGCACCTGCAGGGCGCACGGAGGGGTTGAATCCGGTAACGCAATCACACCCCCAGCACCTTGGTTCAGAACGCTCCCCATGTCAAATGACATGTCGATGCCAGTGTGCAGGGTCTCAAACTCTTGCTCCTCCTGCATAACCGCCCGTTGGTTTTGCCTCACAGCAAGATGCAACACAAAACTGAGAGCGCAGTACTGAGTCGAGATGAGTGGCTTGCGATGGCCAGCGACCTCTGTTTCCACGTAATAGCGGAAAACGTTGGGCTTGAAGTCGTGCTTCCTGCAAATTGTTTGTTTTGAACTAACCAGGGGCCCTATAACCTCACTTGGACCCTTTGGCGTTCGAAGGGTCTGGATGCAGTCCTGACTTTGCGGGCACGGTCCTTCAAAGCCTCACTTACGCACTCCTCGATGTCTTGCCTGGGCTGGCGCAAAATCTGTCGCACCGCCTTGTGTGTTTAAATTGGGGAGTTTATAGCTGGGTGCAGAAAAGGAACTCTGACATGTTGAAAGGCGGCTCTGCCATTTGTTCTCGCGTGAGGAACTTACTTGGATGTTCGGCGGTGTTGCTATCTAGATGGCTTACATGACGCATTTACTGACTAAGCTATCTGCAGTTATATTTCCTCCAACATGAGTTATAAGTTGGTGTAATTCAGCCATCATGGACAGCACAAGATAGTAAGTAGCCAGTCTTAGGGCAAGTACTTACCATATAGGACAAACACATGGCTAACATATAAGTTAAGATAGCTATATGTGGGACAAGGAATTTGGCGAACTTAAGTAATATATTTGGAAGACATAGCTAAGTGCGCCAAGACATACTTAGTAAGTTGACCGCGGCCTACTTAGTAAGTTGACCACGCCATACTTATATGTTTGCCGGGTATACTTAGCAAGCTCGCTAAGTAAGCCGAGAGGCGTGTTTTTTGGATGAATATCCACAACAATACTCACAAATCATATCGTGCAGCTACTGCCACGAATGCTGGGAAAATATTTTGTTTTTGGTCGCGTAACAACGTGTAAGCGCAACATGTATAGCTATATGCGTGCCCACACATGTTAAAAACACATTTTCCCCAACCTAACCCTCCCATTTATATAAGCAACTGCGCGCCGCCCATACAAGTTTGTGAAAGGCAAACGCTGCGCGCCGGTTTGCGCGGCGGGGCCACTGCCAACGCAGGCACGGCCACTGGGATCGACAGGGGGGGGGGCAGCGTCGCCGCAAAAAGATTGGCAAAGCCACGGTTATATTACAACTCCCTATTTACACGCAAAGCTATAAGGAGTTATAACATGTGTGCTGGTTGTATAGTTTTGCTCATGGGCTTTATATAACTTCCCCAAACCGTGCACTCTGACATTTGTTCGGCAAATATAGGACAAAGGCGTCCAATTTGACAGAGCGATTCTTGGAGATGTTTTCATTTTTGGCATGTGTATTTACACGTGTTTCATCATGCCACCGAACAACCATTTGCAAAAAGCATCTCCTTGAATAGATTTGCCATGGAAAACCCAAACGTACATCGTAGGAAAGTGTTTTGACCCCGTATATAGGCCGGGCTTGCGTGGGAACTTGAGCATAGTTTTCAGGGCTTGTGTTTGGGTGCATGAAACGTGTCACGGGCTTAACGTCTTGGAAGAGTTTCATTGCGTTGTGATTCGTCATGGGTCGTGGGTAGGTTCAAGTTGCTGGTATAGGGGATTGCTAGTTGATAATTCCTCAAAATGCAATGCATCATTGGGCTTGTTTGGGGGGCCACTGTTTCTAAGGGACCCGAACAAGAAACATTGGTTGCTTGAAGTGCATTTGTTGTATAGCTGTGAATCACGTGGCTGGGCATGAGAGCTCGCCTCTATGCATGCTGGGCGTTAGCTCGCATGCCAAGCGTGCGCCGAAGTGTTTCGGCGCAATACTGAGACCACCTTGAGCCATGCAGTCGGCCGAGCAGGGGGACCACATCTTGAAGAAACGGCAGACTGCGCTGCAGTTCACAAAGGCCTCAAGCTTGTACCAGCAGTACAAGACGGAACCCACAGATGGACAACCAACGACCCCTCGACCGGAAGATGCAGGCAGCAAACGAGAGTGGGAGCGCCTCATGTATAGGTGGCGGTCTGCCATGAGAGATGCAGCCGCAAGGAAAGGATGTGCATGAGTCCATCCAAGCTGGCGACATGCCACCAATTAGAAGCGTGGACCTTGCCGCGCAACAGTCATGGGGAAAAAGGCAAGTGAATAGTTACACCCATGCATGGGGTCCAACAACCCTCCATTATAGGGAGTTTCTCATTGATGCCCTGATGCGATTGAGAAGGGTTGTGCACTCATGCTGAAGGCTGCTTGCGGGTTGTCAAACCCACGGTCACACGTAAGCCACATGCCCACATGTGCAGGGTCAACTGCAAGAATTTGCCATGTTTACCGGTGTTGGAACATGAAGGTCTAATCAGATCAGACAACGCTTTCTGGACCCGCCATGTAGGCAGGCCAAATGGCGCATGCGCGCAAGCCATTGTGAAGGCACTGCAGCTATTTGGGACAAGCTTTGATTTTGGTAGATAGCGAAATGATCACACCCGAGCTGTGTGCAAAGATTGAAGCCCACATCGCCAAGGCCGAAAGTGGGTCCATAGTGCAGTCCATGGCGGCATTGATGGTTGATTTGGAGACATTTGGCCTGCGGTATAGCAAATGTGTTTGCTTCCTGTATGGAATCTGAAAAGGAAGGGTCAAAGCCTGGATGTTGTTTTTTTAATGAGGACATTCCTTAAGGCAACTGATGCCAGCTCAGGAATGCGCATCTCAGCTGGCGTGCTCGGCTGAAGCCAGAGTGGGTCGCGGTCCACCCGGCAAACCGGGACGGCTCCGGGGTGAGCCCAAGTTGCGTCCACCAGCTGGCTTCTGACATCTCGGAGTGCGGCTGGGACTGGGCCCAGATCCGGGCTTTGTGCGTGGAGCTCTCCCACGAGGAGATTCCCTTGGTGGTGAAGTTCAACCAAGAGCTTGATGCCCACGTCGATGACACGATGAAGCTGGCGCCCATCATCAAAGAAACCATTCGGTACGGATCTTTGAGTGCCTCGCACACCAACTGTGCGCTGAGGTTGTTTGCTGCCTCCTGCCTGCACGACGGCAACCCAGATCTTCTCGTAAAGGGCAAGCTTTCCCTTCACCAGCTCAGGGACAAGGACGCTGCATACGCTGACGCCGCCGAGAACGGCTTGACATGGTCCATAATCAGCTCCACTGTCATCACGCGCTACCCCGCCTTATGCGGCTTGTTGCAACAGGCCATGAACACCGGAGCGCAACTGCAGCGCCAAGAGGGCGAACTGCAGATATGCCTCCGCCTTTTGGGAGCCTGGCAGCAGGAGGCCAAGTCCAAGCCAGACACGCAAGTCCAATTCAAGGAGATCCGGAGCAAGGTCCTGCGCACCAAGCCCTCTTGCAGCAATGCTGCGCCATTCATGTATACCTTCATCCTCAGGTATGGAGGAGGGGCTGATGGCCAGTGGATTCGTGAGAGCGAGCAGTTTGTGAAAAGGGCTGGCGGTTCGCAGAGGCAGCTGGGCCCGGACCGCTGGGACAACTTGAGTTTGCCTGGCAAAGGTGGGGAGCATTTGCTTCGCCTTCGCCACGCTGCCCTGCGTGTGTCTTACATTGAGGAGAAGCCGTTGTCAGTCAGTGACCTTAGGAGACTGCTGAGATCGAACGATGCAGCTGCAGCAGAACAGCTGATGCAAGACGTTCGGGAGCTCGGTCGCATCACCCTGGCCTCCGACTTGCATCAGGAGGTGCTTCTCTTTGAGCATCAGATCGTCACACAGTTGCTGGACAGGAAAGGGCGCCTGCCCAGCATGGAGCACGCCGCCCAGGCCTTCATCGTGAAAGTGCAGGAGAGAGGCGGCCCCTTGCTGACTGAGAAGTGGAGTGCCTTCACCATGGAGAAGCCTGCTGTGGCAGGGCTGTCTCGCCCCGATTCAGCTGCCCCTTCAGTGATCCTTTGCTGAAAAACACGTTTTTCCAAGACGACCTAAATATGTATTGTTTTGGGATCCGTCCGCATTTTCGTTAACAGCACAGATGTGTGTGGCTGGGCCAAACAGCTCGCCAGCGCTGGGCTTTTAGGAAAGCTCGCGATTTGCTCACCTCTCGGGCCATCAGGATGCTGACGTACGACCGGCACAGAGAGCTTGCCGAATGCGAGGCCATTGTCAACGAGCTAGGGTTCAATGCCGGGGACGCTGTCATGCGGCGCGCGGATAAAGTCGCGGCGACCATTTCCGGATTCACGCAGTCGCACGTGATTCTGCGCATCGAATCCGGTCTCATTGCGGGGACGGCTAAAGTCTTGGCCAAATCCTTCTCCAAGAAGGAATGGACCCACTGTGCTGCGAAGAAGGAGGTGGAGGAGGTGCAGGAGCCTGGGGCCCTTATAAAGGGCAGTTGCGCATGTTTCCAATTCGCCTTTTTTACTCCATTTGTTGGAGGGGTTTGAATCAGTTTTGGCCAACTGGAACTTGCAGGAGCACTGGCAGCACCGGATTGGCAGCCATGTGGAGTTTGGAGTGCTGTATCTCAAGGGCAAGATCACTGCTGCGTTGCTGCAGGAAGAGCTCAAGCACTTGGACACCTTGCAGCACTTGACCATCCAGACTAAACCGTTCAAAAATGTGGTTGTGACCAAGAACTTTGCAACCAACAAGCTGGTCCTGGTGCCCATGACCACCCGCATCAGCACCCAGTTGCAGAAGTCGGGCGCACAGCTTCTGGGAGAGCTCATGGCTGGCCCAGAAGGCGGCCTTTCGTTTTGGTTGGTGCCGTGCTTTGCGGCGCCAAAGCCTCACCCAGAGGGCTCCAAGGGCATGATCGCGCCCTTCTGGCTGGTCCAGACAACTGAGCAACCAGACGAGGCCAACATGGAGGTGACTCCGGACCTGGGCTCCCACAACGAATCCGACAAGCTGATCCACCAGGTCACCATCAAGGTGCCCGTGATGAAGAACACGCGCCCGATCAAAGCTGGTGAGCAGCTTAGGGTGTTTCGTGTCAAGGAAACTAAGGTTCCTGATTTGGAGGACATAGTTTCGGCTGCGCCAGCAAAGCGTCGCCGTGTGAAATCGGCTGACTAGAAGAAGCGACTTCATATATAGACAGTTTGTGCCGAATCTCAGCAGTCCAACAGGGTTTGCAATCATTGTTGTTAAAGGTAGCTTTGACTTGCCATGCATGTTTGCTTCAGTGCTTCTGTGAATTACGAGTTGGGCGAGCTGTCGGCGTGCACAAGCCTTTGCGCAGATTGTCTTGACCGGTCCGGCCACGTGTAAAACGGAGACTGCTGCAACGCATCACGCAGGGACCCAAACATATGGAGTTGCCTGTGGCTCGGTTGGATAGCCCCACGGCATTGTTTCAGCGAGCATATGAGCCCAGCTGCACAGTATTCAGTATCATGCACAAAATCTTCTGCCTTGTGTCTTTCTTGCATGCAGACTTCTCTTGGAGGGCTGAGCGGGTTTGGTGAGGGGTGCTCAAACTGTGGCTTCACAATCTTAAGCAAGCTAAGTCCAGCCGCAGAAGCGAGCTAAGCCCAGCTTCAGTTGCATATGGCGAGCAAACTGCCCAGCCGCAGAAGCGAGCTAAGCCCAGCTTCAGTTGCATATGGCGAGCAAACTGCCCAGCCGCAGAAGCGAGCTAAGCCCAGCTTCAGTTGCATACGGCGAGCAAACTGCCCAGCCACAGAGCCCAGCTCCAGTTGACAATTAGCGAGCCATTGCCCTGCAGTGTTTCCAACCCCTTTCAAAGCACCAGACCACATTTCCAAGCACGTCAGTACAGAGTTCATGATTCTTGACATGAAACCAATGAAACAACTCATTGGGTTGGCGCTTGAGAACAATGTGTTTGCCTGACATTCCTCGAGCAGGCTCAAAGGTGGTGCAGGTGGCTGGGACTTTCTCGCCACAAGCTGGGCAATCTTGCTCGCTTGCTGAAGCATGGCTGACACGAAGATCAGTAAGGTCTGTGTCATCACATCGGAGACCCTTGGGAAGCACCAGTGGAAGCCAGAAGTTGTGACCGTCCAGGGGACCGACTTCATCAAACTGCATCGTTGGTCCCGAGACTTGACAAGGTACGTCACGGGGCGGGCCTTGGACCTGCGCAAGGGCAAAGGGCACTGCCTGAGCGGCGACTACATGGAGCACCTGGTCACGGAGAGGAACAAGAACAGCCGAGAGGCATACCAGGAAGCCATGCGGTCAACGCAAGAAGGCGAAGAGCCGCCTCAGCCAAGCCGCAGGCGCACAGTCAGGCAATCTGACTCGGCAGTCGCACCTGCAGTGGTGTCGATCAGGATGCCTGCCGCTGATTGGCATCCGGAGAGGGAGGTCCAATGCTTATGGTCCGTTAAGTCGCCTCACCTTTGGCTTGAAATGAGCGAAGACATCATGGTGCACCTCAAGGCCGGAATCATGCAGGGCATTCCTGAGCACGAGCGCAACGCTAAGAAGCGCAAGCCTAGCAGAGCAGAGCCTTTGCCTGAGGCTGAAGGGGATGCTTCCGAATCAGGCACGCAATCCTAGGGCCCTGTGTGAGGAAAGCATTGTGATAGGTGTGTGCAAGAGCCATGACATTCAATTTGAATCATGTGTAGATACGCTGTTTGGGCTGATTGTTTTGTTTGCTGTGTTTGCTTGGTATGTGTGGCCACTGTCTGGGATGCCGTGATTGCAAGGAAGCCTTCATATAGAACTTTTCGCACGCGGGGGCACACTTGCAAGTGCAAGGCTGTGTGCGCAGTGCTCTTCATTGCGCAAACCCACAGCTCAGTACATCACATAATTTGCAGTGGGGGGCGCAGAACAATGTAGCAGTCAGCGAGACGTGGAAAAGCATGCCTGGTCAAGTTGAAACCCGCTTTGAGATTGCTCCTGGCTTCCTCACTTCATGGGTTGTTTTTGCAGAGGATTCCACAATAGTTTGTCAGTGAGGGTGGCGCATCATCAACTGCATTGTTTTAGATTACACGCTTCTACATCTTGCGAGACGGCCTATGAATCAATGTGACCGAAACGAGAAGACACGCTGCACACTCACGGCTGTAGGTGGGGTTATTGTTACCACATGGCTTCCGAATTGGCTTCAAGTGCGATCGCTGCTGGCTGCGTGATGGCTACACTTACGCTTAAACTAAGCTGTTGTGACCATGATGTCTCAGTTGTGTGTGTGTGTGCGTGCGTCCGTGCGTGTTTGTTTGTTGGGGAAACCTATATAGGACACCATTGTGTCAAGTGTTGGTCGCGATTCCAGTCAACTGGCAATTGAGGAACTACCAACGGACCCCGTGTGTTGTAACATGTTCATTTCGGCTCCCTGAGCATCCACTCCAGGGATAGGGCAGCGCCTTTCGAGATCAATGTAGTGACTTGTTCATGACACGCAATTGCATGCAGGTGCTTAAGGGTTCAGGATGCGTCGGTCGTGGGGCCTCGTGTGCAACTTGAGAGTGTGCTCTGCAGGCAATGCATGGCTCCATGCCGCGCCGTGCGGCAATGCATATAGAAGTGCACATATATCTACACACATATATGGTTGTATAGGGACATGCACAAAGAAATTACACATACAGCTTCATACAGGCTGGCGCAACTAGCACTGAGTATAATAGTATACTATAGCAAGCTTCAAGGTGAAACATCTTATCACAAGTTCTGGTTTGTCTGTGTAGCCGTGCACCTATATAGGAGCACACGCCTGCCATGGAGCACCGCGAGGATCTGGACACTGAGGAGCCGGAGACCAAGGTCACGGTGGACCCCTACACGGTGGATCGGTCTCCAACACCGAAGCGAGCTAGGGTGGATGATGGAGGTGAAGATGGAGGTGGAGATGATGAAGAGGGCGCAAAGCCCATGGGCAGTGCTGGCCATGCAGACCAAGCCGGCTGGGACGAGTGGGACAGCTGGGCAGTGAAGACCGAGCCGGACGACGGCGAGGACCACTATAGCTGGTGGGCGGTGAAGGATGAGCAGGAGGAAGAGGTGGAGAACGAGGCCGGGATCACCGAGACGAAGGACAGTGGCCCGGACACCATGGAGAAGGCTGCCGATCTGCCGGAGACAGAGGACCCTGCGAGCAAGTGGGCATGGGACCAGAGGCACCGCGCATGGCGTGACGACGACTGGCGCGGAAGCAGCTGGTCCAGCGGAGGAGGAGGCGGAGGCTGGAATCAGAGCAGGAGTGGCTGGTGGGAGGAGACAGGCCATGGCAGCAGCGGCAAGGGCACGTCCACGGGCAAATCCACCACGATCAACAAGGGCAAGTCCTATGGCGGGCGCGGCGGGGGCGGCGGTGGCGGCGGCGGCAAGTCCTTCGGCCGCGGCAAGTCCTTCGGCAAGAAGGGGAGGAAGGGGCACGGCTACTATCTCCCGGATGGGTCTGGCTACATGGACTCCTGGGGGCGAGTGCAGCCGACACTCGACATTACTCAATTGTAAGGTGTTGTTTTTTGTTCAGTGGTCTGTTTGCGTTGGTGCTGTACTTAAACATCATCATACGTGTATAATTAGTAGTATACACACTTGCATGTGCTCTCTTCAGTAGTGTTGCTTGCAAATGATACCTAAAGCCATTTTGCCTCACAAGTAATTTGTCATTTATGTGTGTGTCTATGCATGTGCTTTGAGTGTCGAACGCATGTTCACTTAGTTGTTCGGTGTGGTGAGGTCTAACTGGATGCTGTCATTCACGGATGCTGTCATTGGCGGCTCTCATGCTAGTGTGTTCAGCCGTGTTTGTGCCGGGGCAACGTGACCAGGATCATATGTGTTTGGTTGTTACCCATGATGATCTGGTGCATCAATTGTAGATGACGTCTTGATTCATACATTGTTGTGTTGTGTTGAGTATTTGCGTGGCATCTGGATGTGTGTCTGGTGTCCGTGCTGTATCTGCATGGCCTGCGCACACGCCCAGGATCCAACAGGGCCGCACCAGAGGACGGACACGCGGAGGCAGCCAGATCGCGCAGGAGAACCGAGTCGACAAGGCTCTCGATGCGGTGATGGCGTTGGCTGGGGCTGTCACGGCCATGGCTGCGCCGAGGCCTGCGCAGTGAGCCTCAAAGAGGCATTTTGGGGCGCGGATGACGCCAAGTGCGCTGGGATGTCATAGAATGACTGGGCTAGTGGTTGGACTCACTGCATGGTTTGCATGGTTTGCTGAATGGCACTACAGGCGCTCCATCCGTGCAGGTGTACAGCCACCATGTGTGGTCGCTAGTTTTCGCTTTTGGTTTTGCTGCGAGCGGTTTTATGCATAGGTGTGCACCGGGCGCCTGGCTGACAGCCATTTCAACCCCCGGAAACAGTGTTTGCCACTCGGTACCATGCTCCAAACAACAGCAATGACCCATGGCAACGACCTGTTTGACATGGTTGCAGCCAGGTGGAGTGACCACGGAAATCGGAGTGAGTGAACATACGCTGGAAATGGGGAAACACAGAAGTTTATCAATCTATAAAAAAACTGGTCTGGGAGATACGTTTTTTTATCAATCTATAACAGTTTGTTCACGTAATGGCTTGCTTGTACACGGACCATTCTAGATTGATAAAAAACGGTGCGTGCACAGTTTGTTTTTTTATGGATCTATATAAAATGTGTTTTCCCAAACATTTGGTCTCATCCCTTCTGTGGGAGCTGGGCTTGGCCGCGGCAGGATATCTCGCCCGCACGGTGCGAAAAAAAACTGTTTGCTCGAGTGGCCAGCACTGGCATTTGTGTGACGGCGAGGTGAACCATGTGGCAGGTGGAAGGCGTTAGGCTGAGGCATGAGGTTTCATGTTTGCCCTGATGGACTTCGAGTCGTGCATGTGGGGTGTAGGTCAGCTGATGCTAATGAGGGACCACCATCAACTACATGATATGTATAGTAATGCCTTTTTGATAGGCCCAACTCAGTTAAGCATGAATGAGCCAATGAGCACGTGTGTGAGGTCTGTCATGAGGCTGGAGGTTAGTCAGCACATGTACCAATCATGCAACCGTCATGTGTTGTGTTGTTTGGGGCAGTGTTTGACATTGTACCCCTTCCGCACCTGCTAATGTTTTTGAGAAACTTGGTTTGTGTCCCTTATAAGACATTGAATCCATTCCTCGATCGTGGCATTTGGTGTCAAAGTGCCGTCAAATGTTTTGATCACCCGTCGCATCATTTTCCTTATTGAGCTGACCCTGTGATTGGCGGTATATATCATGTTCAAGCTCTGTCAAGTGTTCTGCATTGCTGCGATGCGCGCCCAGCCCCAGCCAGTATAAAGTACATGCAGCGAGCATCATGCCCAGCCAGTGATGTACCCTCGGCGAGCATCGTGCCCAGCCAGTGTTACCTTCGGCAAGCATCATGCCCAGCCATGCAAGCACATATGCGGCGAGCATTTTGCCCAGCCAGCAGCACCAATTGCCTGCCCAGTCCCACCGCCATTGCTGATTGCTATTCTCATGCCAGCCCCGCTCTTTGTCCAATTTGTCCAGCTGTTGTATGGATGGCGATGTTCCCAAAATTATGTGTTCTTTCAGGCTGCCTCCTCCAACCATTTTGCTGGGCAAACACATTGCTCGCTCGGGCTGGGGCGCGTGCCTCGCCTGGTTCAAAGAGTTGCTGCGTGGCATGCAGTTGTGTTGGCTTGAAGTGTCGCGAAAGCATGCCTCGCTTCGAGCGTGCGTCCGTACCTCATGACTGGAATGGTGATTCGCTGCCGCACGCGGACAAGTGGGAGCCTGTGGGCCGCTGGCACACCAACAAGGTCCTGAACCAGCAGAAGGTGCATATCAACATGACCGGAAAGCAAATGAGCGCGACACCATTTGCTTTTGTCAGGACCCTCACTGTGGGGGACAAGGAGGTGATGCAGTACAGCAGCTGCACCGGCCGCTGGGATGACCTGCTGATCAAAGCTGTGGGTGAGGGAGGTCTCGTGGTGATTTGCGACATCATCCGTTCGGAGGATTCCCGCTTCGTGGCGCTCAAATGGCGATTGGCGCTGACAGGGAAACACCTGTGCTCCAAGATTTACTTCGCCAACAATGCTCCCACAAAGTCATCCGCTTTGCAGGACCTCCGGGAGCTCCTTGCTGACATGAACATGTACTCGCGCCAAGTGAAGCTGTCCTACATGAATGATGTGGGGTTCAGCGCCTATCTCTTCATGCCGGTCGACACGATTGACGGGTTTGCCGTCAAGAGGCGCCGGATGAACTGAGGTGAAGCAAGTTGCTCAGCTGCCTATATAGGCGGCCTGGATTCTTGAAACACATGGCGAACCGCAATTGGGATAAAAGAACGCTGTCTATACCTATGGTGTGCAATAAGCTCGGTTGGTGAATGCTCCACATGTAGCAGCACAGCCAATCAGACCTTGCAGTGAACCAATCCCAAATTGCTATTTGCATGTTCCATTTTGGAAATATGACCACCTTTCCACAAAGGGGCCGTCTGGCTGGGCTCTGAGCTCGCCAGAGCTGGGCTGCTAATACGGCTCGCTCGCACAGGTTCAAGCTGTGTTTTGTGTATTAGGTTCTTTTGCATGGCCATGTCTCGCGGTGGGGAGTTCGTGAAAGACATGGTGCACATGCACAGCTTCCTGGCCGCTCAGAAGCGCATCTTGTCAGCTGAATGCTTCACCAACATGCTGGAGGCTCAGGCTATGTCGTTTGGCAAGCGCTTGGATACCCTGAGCGGCAGCATCAGCTGCGGCCATTGCCTCCACCGTGGCGGAGGGCCCGTGGAGCCCTATCCAGCAGCAGATGTTGGGTAACAAGCTGTCTGGCTCGCTGGCGGGAGGCTCTGCGGCGCAAACGCCCGCACGCCGTCCGCTGCAATGCCTGCATGGCTTTGCCAACTACTTGACGGAGGCTGAGATTGGCATCTTGCAAGATCAGACAACACATGATAGCGTGAAGCTACAATGCCTTGTCAATAGGTGCGTGGCGCTGGGGCTGCACCTTCCTGCAGAAGGCACGGTGAAGCACATCATAGCCAGCGCGTGCGATCTGCAGGGGCTGTCAGCCGCAAATGCTGACGCCAAGTTTCGTGCGCTCCAAGAGTTCAAGGTCCAGCTCAAGGCCCGCATCAAGCACATGCAGAGACTTCCCATGGACCTCCACTTGGCGAAGTACCCTGCTGATCCAAACGACTTGCCTCAGGAGCTGTACTCCGCTGCTTATGGTTACCTGGCATTTGCTTGACCCACAGGGAATGTGTTGTCACATTTGTCTATGCTGTGCACAAACCCACGTGCAGGACAACTCAAGTCCCATTATCTGGAAAGTGTACAAGCACATACATAGATAGTCTGTGTCTACATATGCATTCATACGCGCGCGCGCAGACACATTATATTTGTGCCCACACATCCATGATGTGTGCACTCAGCACGCGTGGACACCCCTTTCATCAACGCCCACTTCTTGGAGACTGTTTCCAAACAAGGAGAGGGTGAGAAGCCGAGCAACATGGGCGGTGACACTGGCATGGCCACCGGAGCTATCGCAGCACGCAAAACATCCAAGCTGGTCAGGGGCAACAGCACAAGTTTGGAGGCGACCATGCCTGTAATGCAGCAGTTCATGGGCATGATGCAGGCCATGTTCATGCAGCAGGGGCGCCCTGCAGATCCACATGGCCTATCCAACTTGCAGGTATTCAAGAACCAGAGGCAGAACAAGGCCGTGCAGGGCCTGGAGATCCCGGATTCAGGGAGCCAGACCCAGGCCGCGCCTGCCCTGACAGACCAAGTCCGCAGACAGCCTACCCCTGAGCTGCAAGCGGCGTCTCTGCCGAGCACTGTGGGCAGCCCTGCGGAGCACCACTTGTTCGACTTGAGTGCGCCTGCAGCAAATCCGGAGAACACCACGGCGGAGCACCAGTTCCGCACGATGAAGGCTGCCTTTGAGGAAAGGGCCGCTTGCAAGGAGGGTGCTCCGGAGTCTGAAGCGCCAAAGGCCAAGGCGAAGGCCAAGGCTAAAGCCAAGGCCAAAGCGAAAGGGAAAGCAAAGGCTTTGCCCAAAAAGGCTTCCCCCAAAAAGGCTTCCCCCAAAAAGGCTTCCCCCAAAAAGGCTGTGGCCAAAACCGCGCCGAAAAAGGCGGCCAAGCCGCTTGTGGCAAAGCTCACCCCTCCCAAAGAAGGGGAGGGCACCTTTTTTTACAAAGGCGGGAAAGTTCACCGCAGCGATCGCACCATGTCTTGGCGCGTGTTCATTAGGAAGGGAGATCGCGTGGACAAGCGTGTCCCGTGGCAGGGAAACGAGGTTGCCTCGTTCCGCCGCGCGTTGCGCCTCATCGAGGAAGGCCAGTGATGCAAACTGGCCTATAGATCGTTTGGGGTGTAGCAGCTGTTTCAAAGATGCGCATGAGCAGTTGTTACTTCCAACTGTGCTATATAAACTAGTTTGTTGCTCCAGTCATTCCCAAACACCTTATGAAATGACGACCATAATGCATCCTTGAACATTGTTAGATCTTTGCATCAGCTGCTCTATTGGGGCGGGTATCGATCATTCATTTAGGCACGCACGCGCATTGAGGCAATGAAAAAAGATGCAGGCAACCGCATGTTGCACAGAGTGTGTGCGTGACCTGGTGCGACAAGAGGTGGGCAGCATGTTGCAAGACATGTTAGATCTGCCGGCTGCTTCAACTTATCAAGCAAGTTTCCCAGCGGAATCATTGATAGATCCTAGCATTTCAATTGCAACACATGCATTTGTGTGCGAAGGGTGCATGAGAAAATTTACACAGGTTGAAGCACAATCAAGCAAGCATAGCTGCATAGATAACACAGACAAGCTGGGCGCTGGAGCGCTCGCTTTAGGCTGGGCGTTCTGCTCGCCAACCATGTTGCATGCCTTGGGGCGAACCAAGTACATCTCGCGCAGCGCCCTGGCGACGGTGCTGCATGAAGTGGCTGCTTTGCCGGAGCCGCCGACGGCCAACTCCCGATCCAGCATCAAACGTTCGAGAGACCAGGCTATAGACATTGAGACACCGTATGGCCAGCTACTACTTACACACGATGCTCCATTGGTTCCATCGACTAGTGGAAAGGCGGAGTCTGGCCAGCTGACGTTTGTGAACCCATTGGCCCTGATGTACCACTTGTGCGCAACATGCTCCCAATATGCTGATCTTGTGAAGGAGATGTTCCAATCCCAAGAGCCCTCATCGCAATCCCCTTTTGAGATCATTGCCTACGCCGATGAAATTACACCGGGGAACGCCCTAAAGCACGACAACCAGCGCAAGGTTCAATGCATATATTGGGCATGGAAGCAACACGGAGTACAACGACTTTCCAATGAACGATTTTGGTTTGTTTTGGGGATGGCGCGCTCGGACACCGTCAAGAGGCTCCCAGGAAAGATGTCAGAGTTCTTCAAATTGGCGATGCTCAAATTCTTCACTCCCATTGACATCAGGCAAGGCATACTCCTCCATTTTCCAGGGTCTGAGCGCAAGGTCTTATTTGGGGATCTTGGGATCATTCTTGCTGATGAAGTGGCAATCAAAGAGGTGCTGGATTGCAAGGGAGCCGCTGGGAGTCTTCCATGCCCCCTGTGCCGGAATGTGGTCGATCATAAGAGTGATCTGGCATCGCATGACCATAGTGGCACCATGGTTCCTACAACAAATTTAGACCTGTCGCTTTTTGAATTTCACAGTGATGCATCGATCCGGGACATCATGAGGTTCCTCAAGGAAAACCAGCATGGCACCAAATCGGCATTCAAGCGAATGCAACAGTTCACAGGCTTCAACTACAATGAACACGGGGCACTCATGTCCCAAGAGCTTGCGCTCAAGCCGGTTTCTACCCTTATGTTCGATTGGATGCACACATTTGTGTCCGGAGGAATCTGGAATGCAGAAGTGGGATTGCTACTGGGCAAATTAAGGGCAGTGGGCTTCACACAAAGGGATTTGCATGACGAGCTGCAAAAATTCACATGGCCCTTCGCATCGGCCAGCCGGTCTGCAACAGGAAAAAAGGTTTTCAGCAAGGACCAGGAGGGAGATGTATCTTGTAGCGCGTCTGAAGCATTGTCGCTTTATAGTGTGTTGCGATTCATCCTGTTGGAAAAGGTTCGCGCAGGTGAGTTGGCTGGGGTGCAGCCATGCATTAGCTCTTACTTGAATCTTTCCAGGGTCCTTGACCTGATTCAAAACATTAAGAGGCAGTCCACCCAAGCGTCGGTCCTGGAAAATGCAATCCTGACCCACCTGCGCTCCTACATCCTGGCCTACGGCCATCAGCGATTCCTGCCAAAGCATCATTTCGCTTGCCACCTAGGGCGCCAGCTCAGCCAGCACAAAATGCTTTGCGCGTGCTTCACCATGGAGAGAAAACATAAAGAGATTAAGCGCTATGCAAGTGGGACCACAAACACTGTGCGCGGCTGGGAAAAGAACGTACTCACCGACGTCATCAACATGCAGATTCAAGAGCTGAACGAGTGCGAGGGCGACCCTTGGAAGCCAGGATTGAGGAACCCAACCATCCCAAGTGAGGCCATGACGGCCGCTTTACAAGCAGCTTTAGGTAGCGAAAGCAACGTTGTGGTTTCTCGCACGGCGAATTATGCCCCCGGAGCTGCAAGCTCCATTGGTGATGCGTGTTTGCTGTCTCTCGAAGGGAAGCAACATTTGGGGCAAGTTCGTTTTTTTGCCCAAATTGAAAAAGGCCAGCCTGTGGCTTGCATCCAAAAGTGGACAAGCTTGGGCCACAATCAATTCAAAGTGTCGAACGAAGACCCTATTCTTTGTGAACTCCCCTGCATACAGGACACCTGTGTGTATACCAGCCGCGAAACTTGCCTGGCCGTAGCGCCTAACTCTTGCTGGGCTGCCTAGACAAAGGTTTGAGCGGCTGTGCGTTTAAACCCTGCAAACATGGTCTGGATGAGCCCGGGTTCAGAACATATTGAAGGTGTTCACTGACACATAAATCTGTTTAGGCTTGATGCTGGGATCACTCAAAGCCAGTATTTATATAAGGAACACGGTTGGGAACAAGAGGTTCTGAAAGCTCATTGGGCAGTGTTTTCTGAGCTCTCGTTGCAGTTGCACACATTGAAAAAGATGTGCACGTACACATCGGTTTCCGACATGCGCAATATGTGTGTGGCTTAACCAGGAGGGGTTATACGCAGGTCGTGGTCCATGTTTCCACTTACTATTGCATTTTGGCACCGGTTGCTTGAGCCACAGCCATATCAATTCTAAACGTTGAAAATGTTATCTATTGAACTTAGCAGGTGTTCAAAACGCTGCATAGTATTCATTTCCCCTGTGGCCAAATCAATGAAGACACGTTCATCCACGAACCAAAAGTTTTGCCCCAGGTCATTCAAGCAGTGGAGGAGTAAGCGCTGTTACACGATAATGCCAAGCCCAAAATCTCTGTGTGAACAAACCCTGTTTAAGGCCCCCTGGCCCATGCAGGAAGGACGTGCAACATGCCAGAACATAGTTGTCATACTATTGAGCGAAGCACAAACAACGAAGGACATCCTTGAATTAGACCAGAATAAAATAGCATAGCAGACATGGACCATTCGACCCTGCCCCTGTCTATTGAGGAGTTGGGCTCGTGGGGATTGAGACGGATGGTGTTGTTGGAAATGTGTGACACTTGTCTATGATTTTTTATGCACTTGTTGTTCCCGATCAACAGCCAAACCTCAATGCCCAGCAGCAATCCAATATTTGAACAACGCGTTTCCCGCAAATACCCAACATGTTGTCCAGAACCTCCTATATAGATATAAGAATGATGGTCATGTGTGTTCCTGTCTTTTTCTAGTTTAAACATTAACCCTGCATGACGTGTTTCCCACTGGCCCTGCACCCTTCCCCCAGCTGCCGCCCCTCTGCGTTTCTGCGCACAGGCGGCCCGGTGGCAGCCATGCAAGGCATGGCAGTCGGCTCGCCGGCTGAGGCATTGGTTTGTGCTTATGTGTGCGTTTGTGTGTGTGCCCATCTTCGTGTTGCTTGCACGTGTGAATGTGTGGCTGCGTTTTTGTACGGATCCATGTTGGCACATCTGATTGTGTGTGTGCGATTGCGCGTTGAGTGTTTCAGTTTTGCGTTTGTGTGTGTGTGGGCCTTATATGTGCCTGCATGAGGTTGCTTAAATGCGTGCGTGAGTGTTTGCTTGTTTGTTTTGGGGTGGTGGTGGTGCATGGTGGTC